ATAATTTACACAACACTAAGTAGAATATAAGAACTGAGTATACACAAACATGAATTAGCAGTTTATAAGTTTTCAACGATTAGTTTGTAGTAAAAATGAAATCGGTTGAATGATTAGCTACTAACAAGTAATTTATTAATACAACTGGTCAGCCAAGTATCGATACATACTCCCAGCTTAGAACCAAACATTTTTTGAGGTCCAGCCGTATTACCCATGATGTTCAAAACATTTGTTTGAAGTACAAGCCATTAAACCAAATGCTTTCATCAACAAGCCAACGGTTCTACTATAGAATTTATTATAAAATTATAGAATTCAGAAGTAGAGAAAATCAGCTTATTTGACATATACAAGTATAAATTATATACGATCTTTCAGTGTGTGCTAGGCATTTATTCACTGCAAAGTAACCAGAACAAAAAGAAACTTGGATACATACAGTAATACCAACCAAATACAGTAGCGTTTTCAGTATACGTAGGGTTATTAATAAATAGGACAAGAACAGATGCATGATACAGCAACCTCAGTTAGTCAAAACGTTGAACGCCTATAGACATTATAATGTTTTCTTTCAGATAACTAAGAACACCGTTAGTTATCTAATTTTTTGTGTTTAACTCAACAAATTCAAATAACAGCGAGGGTTATAAAACATGTGTATTGTGCTCTATTAATTCTGACAGACATAAGTAGTATGTATCAGGAATTACAAGTGGAATATTTACCAGCAGAAGACTGAGATAAAGAGAAGAGAAAGGAAAACATAGAGCAATCGAAATAACAACTGGATTAGAAGAGTGAGGAAGTATTTAAAAGACAACTCAAGGAATAAAGCCAATAATAATAATAATAATAATAATAATAATAATAATAATAATAAAAAGGAAAATGTGCAGACGATGTATTTAATGTATGATCTTCATATTTTACAAAGGCACTGTGTAATTTCTCATTAAACAATAAACTGGTCCATTGTACCTAAGTGTCCATTCACTACGCAGAATTCAATTACTATTATTATTTATTATTTGCACACATAAACATTGATATAAGGGGGCACCATAATATAAAAGCACCACACAACGAAAATAAGGCTGTGAAGAAATAGAGAATGGAAGATGATAATAATAAAATAGGGGCATAAATGAACAGAAAAAAGTGTACGAGAGTGAATTAATAATAATTATGGGAGGAGTTCAGTTAAAACAAATACAACGAGAAAGGATTCCTTGAGTAAAATGAGTTTCATTTATGTAAAGAAAGTGGAAGTTACATTAGGATCGCCACTGGATTCTACTCTGAACCATGTCTGATAATCTATCAAGCCACTGTGTTCCACTGTGTCTAGGACCCCAACCAGGTGGTCGTGAGGGGCTGACAGATTTAAGTCCTATACAGCTTTTCATACACTGACCACCTTTCCACTTTTCTCAACCAGTCCTGACATCGGCAAATACTGCACGACATGGAAGTCTCTGGGACGACATTGGTAGTGAATATCCGAACCACAGAAACCAATATTTCCAGATGGCTACATCAAATGAATTGTCATCACTGTGCCGAATACACGATGCTGCAACTCGGCATTACTACTGGTGGTCAGTAATCCTTCGAAGACAACGATGATCAAACACAAAGAGCCATTTGACATTCTCAACTCAGAGAGGCCAGGTTTCACAAGTATAGGGCAAAAGTGCTCTCGCTGTCACATTGTAAATCCGGCCATTTATAACTAGGCTAACATCACGAAGGTGCTAAAGATAGCCTAGATCGGCATAAGCCACTCCGACTTTCATTATACATGGATTGATTTCATCATTCACGCCAACACCAACACTTACCCGATCGACAAGATACACGGACTTTTAGACTACTTCTATCTGCTCACTGCCAAGAATGAGTGCACGTTCAGGGTCTTGACAGTCTTATATAGGTACATAGCACTCAGAAGGTGCAAAACGCATGCCATACCTACAGATATTTATTGCATGACTTGGATACCATCGCACAATGAGAAAATGCCATCCACATACTAAAGCTCGAAAAGACTTTCTCCAGACAACAGATCCACACCGCCATTGCCTATAACCATAAGAGGTGTTTCAAGAACATCATCGATAGCAAAGTTGAGAAGAAATGGTGAGATTGGGCAACCCTGTCTAACCTCACTTTTTGAATGGAACAATGGAGAAAGGTGGTCGCATACCCCCATTCTGCCTAAGATATTTATATGTGGAGCCTTTAAGATGTTAATAAACTTCTCAGGCACACCCTTCTTCAATAGACAATCCCAGAGAACAGACCTGTCCAACGAATCGTAGGCAACCCTGATATCAAGAAACACTACGATTGTTGGCCCGTGATAAGTATGACTGTGTTCTAACATTTGGCGGAGGGTGAAGATATGATCAATACATCCTCCACCAGAACGAAAACCAGTATCCTCCTCGCAAGTCAATCGTTCTCGGGTTTCCAACAAACTACGAATTATGACAGAAGTCAATAGTTTGGACACAGTCGAAGGTGGACTTATCCCCCGATAGTTGTTACACGAACGACGTGAACCATTTTAAAGATAGGGACAACTATCGACTCGGATGAGTTGGAAAGGCTTCCGGCAGTTACCAGATGCAGCTGCTGCTTCCAACTCATTAGCACGTTCCGATCACCAGGCTTTTCGGTACCTACGCAAGCTTTGCCCAATTTCATTACGTAACAGCCTTCGTTTGTGGTCAAAATCACAGTCACCCGGAGTAGACCGACGGGCTCCAATGAGTTGTAAGAAGCCTGAAGAAACCCAGTTCTTATAAGCGGGACATTTCACGAAGGCACAAGCGGCTTTACTCGCCATTTTCATGGCATCATGCACTTGCAACCAATGCTCATCTACACTTTCCGGTGGGATGGTAGTTAGCCTATAACTAGCTCGGTTCGATACTTACTTGCAACAGAAGTTGCAACCAATTCACTGAAATCAATATGTTTATGACGATCAATTTGATGGCCACTGAAAAGTAAGGTAAGATTGGCGTAGACCAGGGCATGATCAGAGTTCAGATAGGTACTCCAAAAGGAGCGGTAGTTGATCGGGATGTGATCAATCTGAGTTCAGGCTTGAGATGCAGAAGGAGGATACCAGGCGGCATATCGCCGATGACTGTGTCAGAAGTTAGTGCTAGCGAGAAACAGGTTGTAGTCTGTGTATATTTGCAGTAGACGGTCCCCGTTATCTGTCCTGCGACTAACAAGTCCCCATCGGTCACCTAAATGACTCTCTCCTGTGCGTTCAAGTATCCGGCTTGTACTACAATATCTGTCGAACACACTTTCTGAGGAATAACAGTTAATTGTTGGTAAAACTCATTCTTGCTCACATCTGAGTTGCAATCTGTCGGAGCATGAGTAGAGATGACGGAAGGACATCATTTCTCACACCGATTTCTTTGCACCATGATAGAACTTTCTAATCTAACAACAAATAACTGACTATTAATGGGGATTTAGTCGATCAGTGCTGTCTCAGCTCTAGCGCTTAATGCGACACCAACGCCAGCAAAACAAGACGAAGATGCCACAGGGTTCCCGGATAAACGCACGTGAAACAAGCTTTCGAAGCGACAGATGGAGAGTGAATTTGTAGTACTTCACTAGAGTTTTGAATACGGGTTTTGGACAGACAACAGACATCGATATTACGACTTTTTAAAGACATAGCCAACCCTATCTGTTGCCTGATCTGCATTAGTGTGCGTTGAAGGAAGCCATTTTGAATGGTGTACGTGGCTTCAGAAAGACTGCTTCAGTATTCGTATTCGGTGGTAGCATTCAACTTTCGACCAGTCAGTAACATGCGAAATGAGAATTAAAGCGTGAATAGTTTTCTAGTTGTAGTCACTTAATTTATGTGTGGTCTGGGATACTCCCTGTGTGCCTAAAGCGAAAAAAATCTTTTTCTTATAAGGCTAGCCTTTGAGCTTTTGACCCAGAGATTTAATCCCCAAGGCTGTCATAGCATTAGAAGATGCAGCACTATGGTAGTTGGTGACCAAGAACAGATTCATACTCCACTTGTTCCATCAGGATTCTGGAGCCCATGCGAACCATTGATTTGGAATCAGGGCTTTCCCATTCCTCCAGGTTTATCCTCCGTACCCAGTAACCCGGTTAAAGCGCCGGACTTTTGCTTTTAGTTCTCTCAATTTCGTAAACAACAACCCTGCCGAAGGTAGGACTTCCCTGACAGTGACTGTATACGAGAGGCAATGTGTGAGCACTTCGAGAGGGAGAGAGGACTGTCCTCACCTTTGACCGTACCAGGGCATATAACAATAATTTATTGTCACTACACGTTTTCAAGATTCCTGTCAAGGTTATTTCAGAAATACTAATAAGTAAAGTGGATTAACTAACTGTATCTACAGGGTTAGACCGATACGAGATCATACGTACGAACATTCAAACACAAACATACGTATCTGAAATAGAGGAAAGATCCTAACAAAAAAACCATGAAACTATGTGATAGAAAATTGCTGCCATAGAATTTATGTAATCCAGATTCATGTAGTATACATATACCACAATTAAGATACATGTTTAGCGATAAGAGATATTTAAGATAATGAACTTTCTATGAGAGATCTGCAGTTAGAATTATGTATATTAGGTACAAACATGCTGAAATTCCACTCATTTTAGTGCTCGTTTTCTGGTTACTCAATGAATTGCTATCATACGAAAGTATAGCCATAATAACAGCTTAATCACTTACAAAAAACCTTGGGTAGTAAAGTCAAAGCGCCGAGAAGACAGATGAATCAATCACTTTTGAACAGCAATTTTGATTTCATAAAAACATGCTGATCAGCCTTTTTGGATTTTCATTTACGTTATGGTATCATTAAATGTTACTAGGGTTACTATACTCTGGAAATAAGTAATCTTAATCTCTAAATCTCAACGGATATTTATTGAAAAGCAAAAGTTAAAAATGGTTTTTGATTGCTGAATGTTTATTTTCAATCAGATTTTAGCAAAAGTAAAAAAATTACGTAAATAGTTAAAAACTATAAAAGCACAACTTCCACTCTCTCAGTAGTAGCATGAACAAAAATAACTTCTCAAAAATTGGAAAAGATTTATAATGACTGGGTTTATCGAATGTGGAAGTAGAACTAGGAGTGAATTGTTGCCTCAATAATAGTATATAGGTTTTATATAGTAAAGTTAATCCTGAAACATATATTGATACGAGGTGGATAATCTCATTCAATTTTTCAACTCTCCTCTCAAATAAAAGTAAATGATCACATGAAAAAGTTGTATGCGTAAGGGCATTTACGAGGAGATCAAATGAGGTTTTATAAGGAATCATTGGATTGAGAAGAGGAGAGAAGAAAATAAAACAAGAAGTGATTCATTTCTACCAATATAAACATAAATAAATGGTAAACAGATCCATAAAACACCGGAAAATTTTACATTCAATTTCTTTATCGTTTTCTGTAGTAATAACAAGTGTAAATGCAAAAATAGTTTACAGTAAAAACAAACAAGATAAGATCAATAAGCGCGTCAGTGTGTACAAAGATGGATTGTATGTTGAACATTTATTCTTTAGAAATCCATTTTTGGGACTAAACAAAAGTCATAAAAATGTGAAGTTACTTCCAATGTTTTGCATGAGATTTAAATTAATAGATTTTAAAACTTTTTCTGGAATATTCAATCAGACAATAATAAACGTTTTTACTTTTCCTATTTTTTAAACATTATTTTGAAGGCGGTAAATGTCCAAAATTAAAAATCAATTGTTCAAGGAATACAAACGTTAATACAGTATGCGGTGCTAAACGGATGAATGATGGAATAAGACCTTTGAAAAAAGATAATGGACCAGTAACTGCAAGATCGACAGCACAGCTCATCAGATCCTGGAACATAAGAATAAAAATAAAGGCAATAATTCAGTCGACTATCTGAAGTAGATCTGTAGTATTTAAGATATTATAGTGCAAGAAATGTACTCGTAAGACAGATATAGCCTCAGTTTTTAAAAAACGGATATATATATATATATATATATATATTACTGTCAGGGTTTCAGCGTACAATTCTGTCGTACTCTTAGTAGAACAGAGGTTCAGCGACATGAACTTACTTAGGCTGAGTGTAGATGGTGATTTTGTACATGTCACTAAACTAGAACATCAGTCTAGACATATCTTGCGTCCAAGAAACTCACAAAACGTTTACTAATTCTATGTGAAAAGAGTGAGAAATGATCAGTTTGTGACACAGAGTAGTTTCATTGAATTAAAATATGTTTTGCCGTAAAGACTCCTTGGATGAATTCTGAACAATGAGTGAAACACAGTGACTTCAGATACCAGATATATCTCAAAACAGAAGCTATTTTCGATCTGCTGTAGTTCGCAGGAGGATTTTTAATAGATAGTAAGATGAACATTTTAGGTGCATAAAATCTATCTTGATAGTGGTCTCAACCGAAATGCAACTTTTAATTTTTACCATAATTATTAATTATCTTTCTACATTGTCATTTTCCGACCGTTGCTGCTACTTTGACGTCATGGTCGGGCTTGCCTATCGTGATAAATCAATCAGGTTATGCTGAATGGAACAATCATCCCTCAAGGTCCTACCATATCAGGCAGATCAATTGAAAAACGGCAAGATTGAAAGCAGCAAACTCAAGGTCCGAAGGCGAAGTCGCAGTGTTAACTGTACAGAGTTGTGACAGCAGCAATCAATCTCCCTCTCAAATTCCTATTATTCCTCCTACATCAACTTTCAACTCTAAACTTCCTCTTTTGATTTCCTCCTCAAGTGTCACCATGGTCAAAGATTCTAGTGCGCCAAACAATGTTCCAGATCAACTGAAACCCCGTTCCAAACTATGAACCGATGCATATATGTGCCTGGTCCTACGTTGCAGCTGACTGACTGACATTGTCATTTCATTGTCCGTACATCTCTTACTGTCAAATTGTACTGAGATTTATTTGTTCTATAGATGGAAAAACTGTTTTTATTTTGATCCTAAAACAGTATAGGTTCATACAAATAAATAAAATAAACAAGTTAGTCAAGAAATAAGAAGCTGTTACTTTTCATCCTCGACCAACACAAACCTTTATGAGTAGTGATAACTGGAGAAATAAAACGGTTATCATTCGATAAAGAAGTAAATACACACATACACTTCAACATACCACATTGAAAAGTTCATTTGTAAAGTGTCGGAATGCAAGGACGGTGGATTATCAGAATGGTAAAAAACTTCAGTAAATATATAAGTTACTGATGTATATAAACGGGGAAAGTGTGCAGAATTAAACTAACTGCTTTTAATACTTCAAAAGTTAAATAAAGTCTTTCTTCACAAACATATAACTTATGATCAGTTCAACATTATAAATTTCGGACTGCAACACGTATGAATTATTTATAATATCTAAAATCCTAAAATTATATAAATATATGTATATGGAGAAGTGTTCACAAATTATTGATTACTTAAGAAAGCCATTTAAGTTAACAATCATAGGGAAAATGAAAAAAACGAGTAATGGAACTTACGGAATACTTTCCTGGAGGAGCATTCATTAGACGAGTTTTCATTACATCAAATGGTTGGGTAATAAAAGTTGCAACGCCAGCCTAAATAACAGTAAATAAGATCATATTGACAGCCATATAATGAACAGAGAGTTTGGTACAACCAACTTTTGTAAAAAGCACTACTTATTTTTATTAACAGATACCGACGGTTTTTAGATTTATAAACTATGTTATGCATTACACCTATTATATGAAATCTTGCAATACTCAAATTATTGTGAAACTGTCAAATTCTAACTCATGGACTAGTGATAGAAAATTAGATGCATAATCCAATAAACTGCAACTATACACATATGTTTACAGTATTACAAAATATCAAATACTTTACATTTAGACTATAATGATTTTCAAAATGATTGTCGTTACACCATTTAAAGCATTGGTGGATGTCTGGTATTACACTGAGATCTCGCAGTAAATAAAATACCAGTCTGTCTTGAAATCCAGTGTAGCAGAGTTTCTTAGTGGAGTATTCCTCACGATCACAGAAAATAAGCACTTAGAGAACCCAATTGATATGGCTGAGAATAGATCACAACGGCGCCGATGCAATCATAATTCATTCTTCATTTTCTAAATCCTGAACATCTTAAAAATTCTGACGGTTCTAGGTTCTATGTTTGATAAGATAAACGGCGTATATTCCTGAGTAAAAAATAAAAATAAAACAATACAACTTAGTGACTGAGTACAGCTTTGTGTACTAGGCTTTCATCCACATCTAACATTTGAAGGTAAAAGATCTTACTGCGGTATTCTAAGAACCTGTAAATTAATAACACTTATATATAATAACCAATAAACAGATTAAGGAGACTATGGACACATAAGAAAACAGTTACGTTATGTGTAGTAGATACTCGATAAATATTTTCTTTAACGCCTTACTTTAGCTATATAATAGTAGTAGTAGAAGTAATGGTCATAGAGTGAGTTCATTAGGAGACAAAAACAATTGACTGAAGATGTACCTTTACCTCTACATTAAATCCCTAACTCCTACAGAATAACGATTAAGAAAGTTATGTAAACGGAAAAACAAATTTAAGAATAACTAATGCACTATTAAGCTATAGACAAAACATAAACCAGCATTTTAAATTTAATAGGTTAACAACGGTTACTTTCTTTCTTCCAAACGATCTATCACTCTGTAAACACTTCAGATCAACTAAAATCAATCATGATGTTGACACGAAGCATCAAAAGATGGCCAATGACACTATTGATAAGCAAGATTTGATCTTAATTCAATAACAAGGGTTCCACCTGGTCCGAAGTAGGTTGAGAAAAAAATTAAAATATGATATAATGGTTGAAAGTCGAGTACTTAAATTTCCAAGAAATTGACCATTTATCGTTATTATTTCATTGTATAGTCGGTTATTTTGTTTGAATTCGAACTCATAAGGACTTAATAGAAATAACTGAATAGTAGTTTAATATTCTTTTGATGAAGAAGTATTTAATTACTACATAATAACAGAACGATAATAATAAATAGAACAAAGTTAATAAACAGATACAGTTGCAATCTGAACAATTGGTTATGAGACAGGTTGATGTGAACTTCAGCTACCTGTTGGCCTTTATCAAATCGAAAATTAACAATTACAGACTGATACACTATCTTGTAAGACTGTAACTACCTGTTGCAACTGTTACAATACCTGTTTTCTGATCCAAATTTAAAAGATCTTAATGTTTACGATAACAAATATACATAAATTAATACTTACCAAAATAAATAAAAATGAATCTTTTTAAACAATTACTTACTGCACTAGAACTTGCAATCAAATGCGTCAAAGGTTTGTCTTCAAATCCACCAGAGTTAATAAGCATGATTTTAAATTTATCATAAAAAGCTAATTGTCCTAATGTCATAAATGCGGCTCGAGAAGCAGTCATACTGACTCCATTGAATAATTTGATCCCACCTTCATGACGAACTACACGAATTAATCCATCGATACAATTTTTGTAGCTAATATATAATATAAATGGTTTTTTTAATTAAATAGGAAGTGGATGAATCATTTGTAAGTTATTAGTAGTAATAACAATAAGCTAATACACATTTAAGCTATATATGTTACGAGTGTCCTGGGTAAGAGTGAGACTGGTGCAGTAGTTTGAGACTGAAATACATAAAATTTCAACCATCAAGTTACATGTTCGAACCTAGCTATACAAAATTAAGTCTGTGTAGTATAATCAGCACTCATATAAAAGTAGGGTGTCAAGTCAAGTATATGAAGTTTTACTCAGTTGTAGAGTTCTTAATTTTCAATTCTGTTTGAAGCATAGGGTTATTTTACATTAAATAATACGAACTCATTTAAAAAACTAAAGTGATTTCGATCTAGGCGTTTGGTTGAGTTGAAGAAGCCATGAGTTACAAGGGCAAAATGACCATATTAAATTTATTTTGTGTTTGTTATTTGCTTACCTGTGAACAAGTTCAGTCTAAATTTGTAGATTTGGATATATAGGGAAAAAAATTTGGAAAATGAATTGGGTTACGTAACTTCAGCACATAAAACACCAAAATCTAGACAGAACTCTGTGTGTTACTATACTATGGAAACAAAGTAAAATAAACTGACTATTTGAACAAACAACTATACCCAAAAACATATCGGGAATGAGAGAAATATTGGTTGAAATATAGCTAATGTAAACAAATGAAATACATGGACAATGCACTGTACTATAATGTTGTAAACACATATAGAGTACAATTAGTAAAACGATATCTTGGTTACCATATAGCGACTAACTAGGATATACCACTTAGTTTTATGAAATATACAAGAGTAACTATTTAAGTTCTTATATGATGTATAACATGAATGAAGTTGGTTAACCAGAATACCAACTTTCCACATGAACAGTCAGCAAAACTTGCCGAAGTAATGCCGAATCATCCACAATGTCAATGGCGAACCTCCAGCCTCATATAAGACCTTCAGCTCTACATGGCAATATAGCTCAACGGATTACATTGATACTGGTGGTTGCTTTTCAGTGTTCTCAAGGGCCATTGTCATTGGAACATTGTAAGGCATGTAGCCATTGATAACAGTAATGAGTTTTACTGTCGTGTAAGCGGAATGGGTCAACTTTGGCCTGTTCATGCTGTGCATAATTGATTTACGCGATCACTGATAGGAATAATTATACGTGTGATGTAAATGTGTATATGAATAGTGCAAATGGTCCACCAGGGTGCTCGGTACCTGTATGGTTGCGCCATAGCATTGAGCTGTACTATCCAGATTGTGGCGTTGAAAACCATATAGTATCTGGGACGGGATTGAGCTGTACTGTTTGGGTTGTCGCGTGAAAGTCTGGATGGTCTCTGATTCTCCTGAAAACCAATGCAAAATTACCCTGACCCAGAAGGGCATAATATATAACTATGATGTATAACATAGTTTAGCACCATAAATTCACTTATACTTCAGCAACAGTAATAGAACTTTCCATTTGTAGGTTAAAAAATATTCAGCAAGTTTTAATAAGAAATATCAAATGAAATTTAAGACTAAATCAAATATTTATCAGTTTAAACCACATATAAGTGATGATAAGAGATAAAAATAAGTGAAAATGTCGAGGAACAAACGCAAAAACATACTTCAGCAGACGCGTACGTCTATTTATATATTAGACTAAGATGTACACCGAGTGCGGGGCAGGTAAGCTAATTACTCTACAAGATAATCTAAATGTCACTGGATGAAACACTTTTCGAAGCCCTGACTGACCAAGTAAAAGGATAACGCCAAGATCTTTGAGGCATCATAATATAGTTATGTACAAGCCACCTTACAAATAAAATTAGAAGAAAGATTTTTTTAAACAAAACGAATCGAAATAAATAACTCACTTTCGTCGTTCATTTATAGGAAGTTTCATATCATTTTGCATTCTAAAAAAAATAATGAAACGATCAATTTACGACCTACTATTGACAGCAAAGACAAGTTCAAGCCAACCAAAGAAGCCTACATCAAAAATACACGCAAAAACGTTTTTTCTTAAAGTACACTGAAAATCTTTTCTAACATGTGACAGAAATATCAGGCATTAATAGAGGCAGTTCAAACAGTGTAATTATATTTCCTTAATTTAGTTATTATTAAAGCACATCAAAATAAATAGAACTTCCAGTTTTCCAAGTAAATATCGACACTGGAAGCAACATAGACAAATAATATCTATCAGTCGTAAAAAGAAATAGACTGTGTTACTTTGTTTTTCAAGCTGTTTTTTCATAGATGAACAATGTCACACTATTGTCTTCAGTGTAACGCTTCATGTAGATACTCAAATGTTTCTATAACAAGCCGTCAATCATTTAACTATCACTGCTATTATAGTAGGAAATTTAAGTACAGTTAAACATGAAACTTATTATGATAGCCCTTTAATAGCCAGAAATATTATATGACCCTATATTATTAGTTATGAAAACATTCCAAGTATTTATTGTCCCAGTGCAGTAAGACTAAGATATATCCCAAGAAAGATGGATCGAGGAAACAAATTTATGGTGATCTAGTGGGAATATTCAAACCAGCAATGAGTAAAATAATAACCTTAAATCATATTCAAAACTTAATCCTGAACATAATTTCCAACTTTATTCAATACTTTTATCTCAGCTTGTAGCACATGCAGTTCACAAAATTCGAAAGAATCCCTAGGCTTTTTTAGCTATATTGAGATACAAAATGAATACTATATAACTATTCAATAGCAGAAGTAGGCTGCTACATTATAATTTTGAGTTGAATTATACGTCATCAATCAGTGCATGTTATGTAGATGGATTGTCACAAATTATAGATAACCAAAACTCGTTGGAGAGAGACATTGTTATCTCATTAGTTATCCTAGAACGTGAAATAAGAGGAGTGATTTATTTATTTATTTTAACACATAGACAACGGTACAGGGGGCACCAGATATATATGCGCCACACAAAACAATGAGAAGAGAAAAAAGAGGGTAAGGTGAACATAATAAAAAAAAGAAGACAACGATAACAACCACAGATTAGTGTATGTTAGTGTAATAATAAGAATAATAGTGGGGGAAACAGAAATGGACAACCACAAGAACTCTTTTAGTTAACAAAGTTATAATTACTCTTATTGAAGAAAGTAAATAAAGGTTACAGTAAGATCGCCATTGGCCTCTATTTTGAGCCATATCTGATAACGTCTCCAGACAATGTGTTGCACCATTTCTAGGACCACAGACAGAGATTTATGAAGGACCAACAGAAGCCAGTCCTTTGCAGCTTTATTTCATACCACGACACCACGTTATACATTGACCATCTCTCCGCCTTTTCCAACCAGTTCCAGCGTCGAAAATAATACATGACGTGGAAGTCTCTGGGACGACATTCGTAGAACATGTCCAAGCCCCAAAAGTCGATGTTTCAAGATGGTGACACCAACTGGATTATTGTCTCTGCGCCCGAACACACGATGCCGAACCTCTGCATTACTAACATGGTGTTGACACTGGGTGTCAGCAATCGATGATCAACAACGATGATCAAACATAGAGAGTCGTCTAACATCCTCAACTCTGAGAGGCGAAGATATGATCAATACATCCTCCACCAGAACGAAAACCAGTATCCTCCTCGCAAGTCAATCGTTCTCGGGTTTCCAACAAACTACGAATTATGACAGAAGTCAATAGTTTGGACACAGTCAAAGGTGGACTTATCCCCCGATAGTTGTTACACGAACGACGTGAACCGTTTTAAAGATAGGGACAACTATCGACTCGGATGAGTTGGAAGGGCTTCCGGCAGTTACCAGATGCAGCTGCTGCTTCCAACTCATTAGCACGTTCCGATCACCAGGCTTTTCGGTACCTACGCAAGCTTTGCCCAATTTCATTACGTAACAGCCTTCGTTTGTGGTCAAAATCACAGTCACCCGGAGTAGACCGACGGGCTCCAATGAGTTGTAAGAAGCCTGAAGAAACCCAGTTCTTATAAGCGGGACATTTCACGAAGGCACAAGCGGCTTTACTCGCCATTTTCATGGCATCATGCACTTGCAACCAATGCTCATCTACACTTTCCGGTGGGATGGTAGTTAGCCTATAACTAGCTCGGTTCGATACTTACTTGCAACAGAAGTTGCAACCAATTTACTGACATCAATCCGTGTCCACCGGAGAGTGGTCCCTCCCCAGTCTCAGCTGTACCAGGGCGTTTGGAGGCATACAGGTAATTTCATTGGTCTCAGTTTAGAGACCGTTGCAGAAATTACACTGCAAAGAACAGATACTACACATGATCTTAGCTCAGAGAGCCGAGAAGCGATAAGCATGCTAATAGCATCAGAAACCATAATGACAGCATTATCATGAATTTATTAACAGTAACGGTTAGAAAAAATACCAGTGAATAGTAGACAGAGGATAAATCTTACTTGAAATACAAGTTTTTCGAGACATATGTCCTTGTCTATCTACGACAATTATCTAATATTTGGTAAGCGTGTGGTTATCCTTCAAACCCCTCATACATACTTCCTTTCTTACTAAATCTCAATATCATTGATATGATTATTATTTTAATTCCTTTGTTATTATCCTTACAGGTTTCACATCATTGTGTTGATGTTGTATTACAAACTGGGCTAACGCATATTTGCGTTCAGCTGTATGGGCATTCTGAGTGACTGAAAATAAGTAATTCGATTCTCCAGTAGAAAAAATATTTATTTAAAATTCTTGAAACTACTTGCGTTATTCGGGGTACATCTTGACAAATAAAATACTACATTTTGAGGAATTTACCTCAAAAAAATTGAGAACTATAGGTTTTTAGGGTCCTATCACCTTTTATCTTGTTAGTAATAGGTATATTCTAAACGTTCGTGGCTACTGGCTTTTATTATTGGAGCATTAAGACATTTTGGTACAGTTGAAAATGGATAGAAATCAACCTTTTCTTAATTAATCGCGGATACATAGACTCTGTCGATAAGTTTTGTGAACCCCGTTTATGTGACTGGGATATCTCACGCAAAATCGGTTAGGGGAAAGTAGATAATATCTAGTACCCAAACCGAACAGTAATCTGTGAAATCTAAGAAAATCGATTCTAGATAGACAGTGGACATACGCTCCAAGAGAAGCACGAAGTGGTTGGTGAATGAACCCGATTTGAAAACTGCTAACTATCATGATAACGAATTTTCGGATACTGTTTTCGATGATTGTTGGTTCAGGTCACCAGGTTGTCGCTTTCTTGGTTTCGAAATCCGATTCAATCAATCTGAAGTCAAACATTGTATTGGAGCGTCCATTACTCAAACTTAAAACTGTTTCATCAGACTGGGCTTAGTCGTCATAGATTTATGCCATACTATGAAGATCAATATTCAACATCCTTATTACCGTAAATAGGTTCCTTAACTACCACTTAAAACGCACGTCTTATATAGAATTATACAAGGAACCCGAAGCCCCAACTATTCAGGCGTTGTTTGCAAACATCTTGAACGTGTGGTCTGTATCAGGGTTACATAACAATTTGGGAGACTAAAAGGTCATCCTGAGCGGGTCATGGGGTCAAACTGGTTGTAGTCCTTTAATTACAACCACCTTGTCTGTTGCTGCAAAGGAGCGGTGAAGTTATGCAGAATTGTTTAGATATACTACTTGTTTATCTATATATCCATAGTGCATGGAAATGACAAAGAGAGAAATCTGAGAGCAAATTGTATTCGGTACCTGAAACAATCTTCGCTCTAAACATGTGAACAAGGAGGTTTTGTTATGAGATAATGAGGACATAGCTTAGACCCAGCTAGATCAGGACCCATAAGTATAGCATGTGTTCGAAAATAGTGAAATTAAAATAAGTAGCAAGATTTGCAGAAACCTGTGCTAATTTTCACATTTAATTATCAGTTGTTGAAAAGTTGGGACGTTCGTGTGCTTTAGTAGTTGAGAGGGTTCATGTGGAAGTGCGATAATCTAAACGAACCCATACCTGATGAAAGCTAGATTGGCATAATCTAATCCTGACCATTTAAGGTTCCATCACTATGACAGCTTGGGTTTACTCATCCTGGTGGATAATACTTTGATCCACCCGGTTCTATTTCATGACTCGGAGATATGACTTTTTCAATGAATGGAGCCTAACTAATATTGCACATATTTGGCAGTAGCTAATTCTTGTTTGATTATTTGTGACAGAACGTTTTCCAATTATCTGATTTATGCTAAAGCACCCGTTACGGTTGATTGAAAGTGTAAATGTGTAGGTGATATAATTTTGAGACAGGACCGTTGTTCAAAGTAAGGCATTGATATCTTGGGATGGGTAAGGTTTTGGTATCCATGTGATAGGGAGGTACTCAACTCCTCTAAACAATGTTCAAATTTAATGACAATAGCAAATATAATCCAGCCTTCCTTCGCCTTTTACTTGGTGTGGTGGAAAAAATGATGACGTATTTTATGTGATTGCCTTTTTATCCTATCTTGGAAAGTCTTTCCTATTTTTTACTATGATATTTTCTGTTGGTTATGATCTTTGTATTGATGGTCATATTGCATCAACTTCATATTTAAAGCGTTACGTTTACTAGAAGCATATTATGAACTCCCATATTAAAAAGCTGAATCGCACGTCAAATTGTAGACAGTTTAGATTATCAAATTTGCCTTCAGATATACATAGTATACTTTTTCCATCAGGTTTTACTTTTAAGCAGTTCAAAATATCAAAGCACTTATAAACACAGATATTGTAAACTTTGCCACGAAACAACAATGTGTTGGAAGTATTCTAGCTGCACAATTATTGGTGATAATCATTTTATCAATAAGTTTTCTGCTGTTTTGATTACCTACAACATCTAACAAAAGTCCTAGCGAGACTAAGCTTAAGTTTGAAACTTGACTCAACTCGAAAATGTCTCAACTATTGTTTGGTCAAACGCTGATGACAAACGAGATTTAGGGAGAAGGATACTGAAGTACAGGCTTGCTCTTTGAGGCAAAACGTGTTAATTTGGGAATACTGATATTTAATGAGCCACTGCTAGCTCACATAGGATTACCTCTTAAAGAGACTGTATTTATTATTTATTTATTTATTTAAACACATAAATATTGGTAAAAGGAAGCACCAGATAAATATGCGCCCCACAAATCTCATTCGATTTGTGTGAGGGCTGTGATACTGCCCAGGTGCCCAAACTGAAGCAGGTGGTTTTCTTATGGGACCAAACCTGGAGCCTTTGACCTGAATGTCTGATCCACAAGGCAGTGGAGCATCGTGAGGAGATGCAGTCCCATGGTAGCCGGTGATCAACGGTTGATTCGTACGCCATTTGTTCCCTCAGGATACTGGAGCCCATGTGCACCACTGGTTTGGAATCAGGGTTTTCCAACTCCCCTAGGTGGACCCTCCATGTCCACCAACCCGGTTAAAGCGCCGGACATTCGCTCTTCGTCCTCTCACTTTCGTAAACAACACCCCCGCCACGAGAAGGCAGTGAGTAGGACTTCCCTGGCAGAGGCTATATATTCTCTGGCCATATGAGAGTATTTCGAGAGGGAGAGGTGACTCTCCCCACTCTCGGCCGTACCAAGGCATTTGGGGGCAAACCTGGAAGCACTGGACGGCCGTTTCGTCCTATTATGGGACTCCTCAGCAGTGCGCACCCACGACCCCGCACTCGCGAGATTCGAACCCAGGACCTACCAGTTACGAGCCAGAGTCCTTAACCGATAGAGACTGAGGAACTTCCAATGATTACATGACGAAAATGAAGAAGGAAATAACAATAATTGCTTGAATTAATAAGAATCAGACAGAAGAGATTTTATTCTAGTATTTATCGAAACCTGGGTGAGAATTTTAAAATAGAATAAAATGACCTGGTTTTAGCCCATAACTATCAGCTTTATGACTTTGACTTGAATTACGGTGATCATATAACTTTGCTATGGAGCACTCGACCGATATCTTAGACGGTTCTTTACAGCTTATGTAACGAGAAAAGGTGAGATTAATCAAAGTAGTGAGAAAAATGTGGAAACGGGACTCAAGTATCAAGGCTATCTACATAGGGGAATATTGTATAACACTACATGATACTCATTTCATAGACTGGCTGCGTTGTTCCACAAACGATATTGGGTTAATATGCATAGCCCACTACGAACCCAAATTAGCATCCGGATGGCTTTTTCAAAAATGCATTTACATTTCTAATAATATAGGTACAGACATATCATTTGTAAGAAAAACCACGAAATAACCAACTAGCTGCTGAAACAGTTATACATAAAATAAAATCCCATCAAAGATGTACAATTTAATTACCTGACGTTAATCATGTCAGCTGGGTTACCAACAACACCGCCACAAAATCCAGAAGCCAAGGCTATTAATGAGCTTTCACTGAATGGCAAGGGGGCATTTTTAGACTGTTTATACGTTTCGTAAATTCCAAATCGAGTCATAGAATATGTAAGTTGTCTCAAGATCGAAGCACTTATTCCATTGTAAAACGCTAAAACTCCATCTTGTTTCCATACATGAATCCCCATACTAACCATCCCGAACTGCTTCTTTTGTTGAGTTTGTAAATGAACTTTGATAAGATCTAACGGATGAGTACATGCAGCTGCCATAGCGCTAGCTATTCCTCCAAAATACCACGATCCCACCTTTTCCGAACGGTTATTCACGACGGACATTGAGATCTATGAAAAGTTTTGGACACATGGTTAAATCATATAAAATTGAACAAAGTAAAATAGTGACGAGTATTATAAACGCAATATATGGGATAAAAATGAATGGACGGCATTTCATGAGCATGATTTTATTACTAAGTAAAGTAGTACAGGATAAATTTTATGTCTGCAGAATATGGCAGACAGCGTCACATTCGCAATCATATTATCCCAAGCACTGAAACGTAATGAAACAGCACTAATTTGCTCAAAAAATGAACATCCACTTATGATACTTATTCCCAAAAGATAAAACACCTAAAGAGTTCTGCTGAGCACTATATCCTTAGTGAGAGAGATTACTAGTCTGTTAATCTATGTACAAATACAAATGGTAACACCTGATCGAAGTATGGTATGTTGGAGGAGAATGCCGAGAAACACTTGAGTTCTCCTAACCATGACAACACATATATTCATAGGGAGATCTTGGATTGTAATTATGATAGCAGTTAGCATGTTAAAGCTGCAACAAGACATGATATAAGTAATAGGTGAAAAAGATTAAAAAAAGCTCTGTACAGTTCGTTGTTAAGTGGAATTATGTCGAGCAAAAACAATATTAAGTATCATACTATCTGAGTAAACGCTACTATAAGCTATATTTATTTGACAGTACATGAGATACAACTGTCTTATTCACTATTATTAATGCCAGAATGGATAAGCAACAAGAGAGGAAGTAAAAACAAAATACCATCTGGGAAATATTGCAGAAGTTATATGTGAATGAAACTGATATGTAACACTACTTTTTAACTTTCAGCCTTCCATAGTGTGGGTTTTTCAGGTAAAGCGAACATTTTATTGCAAACTTCCTTGTATATATGAATTTTGAGTTCAAAGATAACGATCAGAACGTTAAGTAGAGCATCAGAAGAGACTTTTAAGAACATTCGTTACCAGACTATTGATAAATATGCTAGTATGAACGTGAACTATATCCGTAGTATTAAACGGGTATTAGCAACAAAACTTAGCATACCGAAACTATTACAAGTTGGAATTATAAAACAATCGAATGCAAAAAACCATAGTGCAGCTTCGCTTCTTGAAAATTTATGCAAGAATCATTACACACATTTACGTAAAAGGATGTAAATCAGATATGAAGACAGGAAGGCACAAAACGATAGTTAAAACGATATGTTGGAACGCATGATATTAGATGAGAGCACACCAAAATATCTAAATATCACTTGTCTTTGTGGCCTTGAGAAGGACGTTGAAACCAGATAGAACAGTTGAGTATTATCCTAACTATCTAGCATAAGAAATCATTTAGGATAAACTTATTTTAAATCGTCTATTTATATGACTGATTACGAAACTGAATAAAGTATGGCATCTATCATATAACACTTTGCAAACTCAAATCCTATAAACATTTGACAACGAAGAATGAAATTGACTTGTTTAACGTGAATGTTCTAACACACCTTCAACTCCGTTCTGACTACGCGTAAAAGTAACGAGCACCAGGATCTATATGCAGCGTATAAGCTAGATTTTCGTCCCGTTCATTAGGTCTTATGTTATTAAAAACGATAAGTTGTTATAATTTTAACACTGATTGTACACTTTGCGAAATTCAAAACAAAATCTAAAAGAAACGAAACTTATTATCCCCCCCTAAATCAGTGTTTCGTAAGATATTGTGAATCCGTACCAAATCATGGGGGAACAAGAGTTTAATAATTTGATAGAAATTCACGAATGCAGTTCACCTTTAAACAGAGCTATTTTGACAGTCAATCAAAGTCATTAAGTAATGATAAAGTATGCGATAGTAAATCCTTTATTTCAATTCGAGTAACCGATATCCTTGTGAAAATTAAGTGACTAGAAAGAAAAAAAGCCCGAGACACCTTGAAGCTTAATTTTACGCGAAGGTCACATGGTCGATGCTGTGGATTCAAATGGTTCAAATGGTTGAGTTGCATTGGATCACCAATACCTCCAGGCAAAAACCTAGGTATATGAACGATAATAGAGGAAAAAAAGAATTTGGTAAATCATAATAATATGTTATCCTTAGTCCTTAAGAATAAGTCAAGTTTCCTCTTAAAGAACTCCTGTGAGGTCTCTTGGACTAGCTCAGTCGGCAGCGAATTCCAGCACTTGACAACTCTAACGGAGTAGAAGTTGAGTCTGCACTCTGTTCTGCTATGTAGGGTCTCCAATTTCTGGGTGTTACCTCTTAGGTTAGTGTTCTGACTAAGCTTAAGAAGATGTTTAAGGGGATGAGCAGAAGTATTAAGGATACTGTAAGTCATAAGAAGATCACCTCTAAGATGCCTGTACTCTAACGGGTAAAGGTTAAGTGATTTGAGGCGATCTTCATAAAGCTTGAATATGAGTCCCCGAACTGATTTCGTGGCTCGACTTTGTATACGTTCCAGAGTGTCCTTATCCTTTTGGAGGGAAGGAGGAAATACTATGTTTCCGTACTCGAAATGGGGGCGAATAAAACTGTTGAAGATTATATGGAAGGTTCAACCGTCAAACTGGCCAAAAATGCGCTTCAATGTTACCAGTGCAAGGTTTGCTTGAGAGTCGTTTTTGTCACAGTTCGCATACGATTTCAGGTCATAGGACACCAACACTCGTAAATCCTTTTCGACTTAGGAAACTTCTAGAAGGGAGTTACCTAAGTAATAACTATAGTCTACAACATGTATCAGATGAACTACTTTGCACTTTGAAGTGTTGAAAGTAAGTCCGTTGTCGTCTGCCTAACTTTGAAGTCGAGTCAGATCCTCCTGAAGAACTAGTATATCATTATGATTATGTAACTCTTTCCAAAGTTTCACATCACCAGCAAAAAGCAATAAGTCAGATGAAACTTGTTGAGGAAGATCGTTAATGTAAATCAAGAAGAGAAGAGGTCCTAGTATTGAGCCCTGGTGGACCCCACTAAGACATTCCATAGCTTGAGAGAGAGTGAAGTTAACCCTGACCCTAAAGTGTCGGTTTTCTAAATATGAAGAGAGCCAGTCAATCAAGGGGGGTTTTATACCCAATCGTCCAAGCTTCTTGATAAAGCATACGTGGTTGACCCTATCCAAAGCTTTTGAGAAATTCAGGTAGATGACGTCAACCTTCCCCTTGCGATCAAGGATGGTTGTCCATCTATCCACTGCAGTCAGCAGGTTGGTCATACAAGGATGACCTTTCTGAAACCATGCTGTTGAGGTGAGAAGAACTTTGAGGATGACAAGTATTCGAGTATACCGTCGTATATTAGGGATTCAAATAAAGATAGAACAAATATTGATGCAGAATAATATGAATTCACTATATTTCGTGGTTTCTCATCAGCTGCTTACAACCAAATATGAATTAGAGTAATAAATAATGTGGAACAATTGACATAATTGAATGTAAAGGATTGGAATAACGAAAGTCATCGATGATAATTATATATATGGGCAAGGAAAGGTCAGAGGTTATTAGGTATTGAAATAAAGGGAGGCGTAATAGTTGAGTGGAGTTCAGAGACAGATAAAATCAAAAATGTGATTATTTTAGAGGTAGTTGAAAACAATTAGGGTGGGTTACGTAACTACATCTATAAATTATTCAATTATTACGTAACCCACCCTAATTGTTTTCAACTACCTCTAAAATAATCACATTTTTGATTTTATCTGTCTCTGAACTCCACTCAACTATTACGCCTCCCTTTATTTCAATACCTAATAACCTCTGACCTTTCCTTGCCCATATATATAGTTATCATCGATGACTTTCGTTATTCCAATCCTTTACATTCAATTATGTCAATTGTTCCACATTATTTATTACTCTAATTCATATTTGGTTGTAAGCAGCTGATGAGAAACCACGAAATATAGTGAATTCATATTATTCTGCATCAATATTTGTTCTATCTTTATTTAAATTCATAAAGGGAACTAACTGCATGAAATATTAGGGATTCCATAATTTTGGAAGGTATGGAGAAAAGGGCCACTGGTCGGTAGCTTGAGGGTTCACTGCGTCGACCTCCTTTGAAAATTGTTGTGATGTGGGCCAGCTTCCAAATTTCCGGTAGTTTGCCTCTGCTTAGCGAGTGTGCAAACATCACGCTAAGTGGTGTCGCCAGGATTGACTCTGCTTCCCTCAATACAGTGGAATGAACCATATCCGGACCAGGAGAAGTGTCTTTTCTTAGGTGCTGCAGTTTACGGAGCACCAGGTCAGCACTCAGGTCCACTTCGGAAAGTCCTGTACAGGTACAGGTGAAGCTTTCGTCAGTATGGTTGATGTGGGTCAGCTGGAATGTCTGGGAGTATTGTTCGGCCAAAAGGTTAGCGGCATTACCGTCGTTATTGGTCGGGCCATTAGGACCAAGCAGTTGGGAAACTCCAGTTTTGCCTTGTCGAAGAGAAGCTGAGTAACTGAATAAGCTTGGTGTGGAACTGAAGCCTTCTCTTATTGCCTTTGCACATATGTTCCTTATGCGTTTATATTGCCTGTATGCGTCGTTATTGTCGGTTCGTTTATATTCGGCCCAACAGTGCCTTTTGCGGCTTAGCAAACGACGAGTGCGGTTCTTGATGGTTGGAGGTTGTTTGTAGCTTTTTGGGACCATTTGAGGAACTGAATGCTCAGTAGCACACAAGATCGTGTGCAGTAAAAAGTCCCAATGAGCATCCACTTCAAGTTGAGGGTGAACATCCCAATCCACCTGTTGTAGATAGTCATGTAAAGCTAACACATTCATTTCGAGACTCATAATATCCAATATTGTTAAAATGGGCCAATATTTAGATTGCTGTAGTATGAACAAATGGCCTGAAGCCTATTTTATTTCTTTTCCAGTATGTGAGTGTCTAGTCTTCTCTTGAATGAGTCATTTGGAGGTGCAGACACCACTGCTTCAGGTAACAGGTTCCAAAAATTGATGACGGTGTAAAAACCTATATTCCATGTGTATTTTTCTGCTCTTGCTCTCTCTGCTCGCATGATGTGTGCTCTCAGATGTCCCGATTTAGTGAGCAGAAAACAAGGGGATATATTATGTCTAAAATCATTTCTTACTATTCTATATATCGAAATCAGGTCACCTTTTAATCTGCAATACGACAGAGTAAAGCGGTCCGGCTTTTCAATCCGCTCTTTGTATGGCGAACCTCAGAGTTCTGGAATTACACCAGTAGCCGCCTCTGTACTTTTTCCAGGATATCCAGGTCACCGTTTAAACAAGTACTTGCATCCTGAACTCAGTTTTCAAGCATAGTTCTCCCTAAGGTTGTGTATACTGTAGTGAACATGGTAGTATCTAAATAAGTGGATGGCCGTCCGGAAGTTCTGAGGGTTCTAGACCCCTTAGCTGCGACCCCCGGCAGTGTATCATGGTTTCTATATCAACCATAGCTATAGATCTGACACAACATCATACCTTACTTATCGACACCCACAAACAAAGATTAGTAGGCTGAAATACTACTTTATCTGTTTGTCTAAATTCTTTTTCCGGTTGCAGATTATCCTCAGTCTCAGTAAAAGACACGATCGGCCCATACTACCAACAAATACTCGATAAGTGCCCTGAGATTTATCAAACGCGACCGAAGCCACCACGTGTAACCAGCGATGTTACACATCACGTCACGACGACAGGACCACCTGTATTCTCGGAAGCGCACCAACTAGCTCCCGAAAAGCTGAGTTTGGATTACAACGAATTCGACCACATGATATACCTAGGAATCGTTCGGCCATCAAACGGCCAATGGGCTTCTTCCTTGCACATGGTCCCTAAAAAGAACAGCAAGGACTAGCACCCAACAAGCGACTTTCAGCGATCGAATGCGAAAACCATTTCCGATCGTTACCCGTTGCCTCACATTCATGGTTTAACAGCTACTTTGAAAGGGACAACTGTTTTTTCGAAAATGCTGACGGCATTCCTAAAACATATATCGTCACACCTTCCGGTCTCTACGAATTTTCGCGCACACCTTTCGGCTTAATTAAAGCTGCACAAACTTTTCAGCGATTCATCGACGCCATTTTTCGAGGTCTCAACTTCGTGTATGAGTATGTTGATGACTGCATGATAGCAAGTCCGGACAGAGGATCCCATCACCAGCATCCAGGCTCTGTCTTAGAACGACTACGTGGAATGTCATAACTGTAAACATTCAGAAATTTGAAATCGGCACCGACTCCTCAGATTTTCTCGGATATACTATTGATGCTCAAAACATTCGACCCCTGAAAAGCGAGGTGGCAGCCATTCTAGCATACCCAGAACCGACCACAGTGAAGCAACTGCGCTCGTTTAACGGCCAGGTACATTTCTATAGACGGTCCATAAAATTTTGCGCGTCCCTTATGAAAACTTTATCGACCAAATTTGTGGAAACGCGAAATCCATCAATTCGGAAGATATGGCGAAAAATACATTATCCACAGTTAGTGAACTTCCCGTCAAAGCAACGTTGCTCACACACCAGGACTCCGAAAAACTCATTAGTACCTTATTAAACGTATCCGACTCGGCAATCCGAAGAAACTCACAACAATGGGTTAATTACACCTGACAACCTTTTTCATTCTTCTTGAGACGGTTGCTAGACACCGAATCGAGATATAGCATTTTCGATATGGAACTCCTAGCCGCGCACGTTCCTGTGTAAGCTGCCAGCAATCTAAGGTGATTAACCACAAAAAATGTCCATTAGGCTTATTCAAAACTCTCAATGCTCGTTTGGAGCATATTCATCTGAGTTTGGTAGAACCTTTACCATATTCAGATGGATACTCTTATCTCTTAACTTGCGTAGACCGCTCCACTCGATGGCAGGAAGCAGTACCCATCATCGACATTACTGCTGAAGCAGTGGCCCGCGCCTTCGTCGAACTTTTGTCGGTAACTCTAACCAACTACTTAACAATTAAATTTTGGTCAAATAAAA